AGGCCTTAATGCAGCAGCCTGTGGCATGGTGGTCTGTCTGGTGTCTCCTCTCCTGCACACTCACTGCATGGAAAGACAAATGGACCTCTATATGTTCTTCCATGTATCTTACACATGGCGAGCATGTGTGTGTGTGTGCGTGCATGTACGTGTCCAAATAACCTAATAGAAGCCAGGGGAACACAATGGTCCATGATGGAGTAGGATTCAACAAAGTGGAAGACCCTGTCAAAGCCCTCCCCTCTGCCTTCATTTTCTCCAGTTCTCTTTACCACAATCCAGCCAGCCAGCCAAGCAGCCATCCTGCTAATGTAGTTAGCTTCCCCCTAATGATGGTGAAATCTCATTAATATGCTTCACAGCTGGGCCCAGTAACCAGTGGGGATGAAGGTAATCAAATCTCAGAGGACTAACCTAGAGCTGAACCTCAAGAACTGCTCAGCAGCACTGGGCCGAGACAGCCCAGAGTCTGGAGGCTTGATAATAGCCGGTGGGCTTGTGTGTGTGTGTGTATTTCTCTTGGTCTGTGGTCTTTTGGTCTTGATTCCTTTGAAGTGGTGATGTTAGCCAGGCTATCTTATGTCAGTATTACAGCTCAGGCCAGTTCATCATCAGAATAGATTTAATTTCAGTCTTGTGCATATTTGTCCATTTAAGTCTAGGCATGCGGTAATTGCTTACGGAGGATGTGGGCGCGTCTTCTCTCTAAGTGCACTTGTGGCTCGTGATGTATGCAAAGTGAATCTGAAGAGCGGCATTACAGACCACTCACACTTGAACTTAATTAAATCACCGCTGCTTTGGAGTTCGAGAACACCATGCTACATTAAGCTATTAAGATATCTGCACACACGCACACTTACAGAACATGCACACACACAAGGGCTGTTTATAAAACTTGTCTGTGAATGTGAATATCAAAGGATAGATGGAAGTAAATTAAATCTAGGGGCTTTGACATATCGAATTATTCATTTATAGCCAGCTCACACATTGTTTGGACTAAACAGTAGTAATAGAACAGTTGCATAATCATTTTTAATACCTGCCTTACTTTAAATGTGCCAGATTTAGCAGAAAAGGCTCCTTTTCAGCCGTAGCCAGTGGTCAAATGTTAAGACAGAATGCAACCTCCTTTTTAAATGGACTTCTGCTGTCTCAACGCAGTACAGTGTCAGGTTTGTTTTCGCTGGTTACACCTGACGGCCTGTGCTGTTTATTCCCACTTCTGGTACTGGTCTGACAAACTGCCAGGCTGCAGTCTTGAATCCAGCCTTGTGTCTGGTTCACAACAACTGCGGTGACCATGCGGTTCGTGTGGTTTGTGTTTCACCTCCTCACCAAAGTACAATAAATTCCTTATCAGTAACTCCTTACTGTTTTCATTTAAACATTATTTCCAGGGTTGTGGCTTTTCTGTGCCTTAAGCAAAACGGGATGTTATTGTCTATTCATTCTAGCCCTCCCTTGGCTAAAAGAATGATATTCTAGCTGTGTAGCTGAAGTATTAGTTACCGCGGTGACTTTGCAGGCTCTGGAGGGGCTCTGGCCTGGAAACCTTGCCAGACACACAAATTTCCAGCGCTAACATGTTGCAAGGATATCAAGGGAAGCTCTCCAGGCGAGTGTGAGTCAGTTCTTCCAGTGTTTGTGCGTATGATTTTGTGGATCACACAATAGGCAGGCTTGTATGATGGTTGGTGTTGATCAGAGCTTGGATGCAGGCTGGTGTTGAATAATGCCTGGGTGAGGGCTGCTGAAGGGCTAAGTAGCTCTGTCCTCTCTGTTGAGCTTCTCTGCCTCTCTGTCCACAGGCCTGCCATTGTTTTGCTCCATGCCTCAGCTTGACAAGGCTCCAGAAGCCAGCCATTGTATTTAATTACAGTCGCCAGCCCCCTCACAGACTCTTGTCCTTGTGTCCCAGATTTCCATGGGTGCTCTCATTAAGAGTGTGCATCCTGTGTGTGTATGTGTGTGTGTCTGACCAATGAGGCTTTTTTTTTAATGGCTCCAGGAAAGCCCTTAGCTTGTGTAAATGTAGGCATGGATGCAATTTTTATGTTTATTTGTGTGGGTGGGCTTCCCATTTGTTTGTCTATGCGTTTCTAATGAAGGCGGCTTAAAATGTGGATGAATAGCTCTGTGGTCACACCAATAACGCGGGGCTGTAATCAGTCCACATCAAGAGAGGCACAAAAGCGCAGAAAAGGGTGAATGGCTTTTTGCTAATGAGAAAATATGCCATGTTATGTAAGAGCTGCTCTATTTAAGTTTAATTTATTTGACATGAGTGTGTTGACTGCATGGCCCAGTGGCATGGGCAAAGATGGCCCGTAATGACACCAATAAAATGGCAACAAGAAGCATAGGACGGACCCACAATTACACTCACCCTTCCAGCTCACTTTGCTTCCTCCTCCTTTTTTCTCCTCACCCGCACTTAAAAAAAACAGTCCTCGTACTGCTGTATGCATAACTCTCCTTGCTGGAAAATAGTATAGTTCTTGATTATGAGCATATGAATTGTCTACATATCATCTCAAATATATCATTCCTTTCCTTTAGTCTCATCTGAAATGAATACCTCACACGTCACACAAGCTACAATTTTTATAAATACTCCATATATAGTTTTTCAAGGCTTTAAGTTAAATCCTGACAGGTGTGTGTGTGTGTGTGCGTGATGTAGTTGAGTCTAAACACTCGAGGCAGGAACAAGAGCGAAATAATACAGCCGAGCTTTCGTTCTGTGTGTGTCAACCATTTTTATCACTTCATCTGTTTTGTTTATTGCTCAAACACATCATAGTTCTCTGTCTCTCCTACGTCTTTGCCTTTTTCTGCCTCCCTGCTCTCCTCCCTTCATCTCCACCCTACATCATCGAAAAAGTTTCTATCTGCTTTTTCCCATTTCCCGTGCAAATACATTTTCTAGGTCTCAAAAAAAAGAATCTGTGTTTAATGAGCCCAAAAATCCTTCAGAAGTAAATATAGAGTGTATTACTCCAGTTGCTTGTCACTGTCTTTCAAACATATTTACACCAACAGCTTAAAAGGTTGTTGCTGGTGTGAAAGTGGCATACGACATCTGCGTCTCATAAATGAAATGTCTTAATAACCCAGGCCTGGTTGGGTGTCACTATTAGGTGTTGCAATGTGAGCTTTATTGCTGTTTAGCTTAACTGTCCCCGTCACCTGAAACCCGCCTGGATATCTTGTGTGAGATAACAGGCAGGCTTAGAAGAGGTGAGATTTTGGTGTACGGTGCTTGTGTATATTATTTTTTCCAGGAAGCCAGGTTGGTTTATTTTGGTTGTTCTGAATGTAATCTTCCCCTGCACCACCTGCTGCTTGGAGATTGGCAAGCTGAAACCCGCACACACACAGACACTATTAAAGGATAAGAAAGCACGTGTGTGAGTAAGAGAAAGAGAGGGAGAAAAACTTCATCCTTGCTTTATGTTCCTCAGCGTGCGATTTAACGTTGTGTGCGTTGGATCCTGTGCGAGCGCAGTGTTTGTCTGCGGTGCCGTCACGTGGAGTGTGTTCCCAGCTGTACTACAGGCCCACTGAACCAGCCCGCTCTGTTAAATATAGATGGCTTATTTACACTCAAGCACTGAGCTGCAGGCAGCTCCTGAGCTACTTGTTAACCTCCCCAATCCCTCCTCTCTTGAGCTGATGATGCTGGGTGGAGTATACCTGTATGGATATGGGTAGAACCAGAATGATTTAGATCCCTATGTTTTAATTTTATCTTGTAACAAGTTCTCGAATTAGTTTGTTTAAAGGTCCACTGATGTCACGTTTCTTATTCCCTTAAATTGAACAAAAACAGTCTGTCAAACAGTTGATATCAAAACGCCAGCATCATATTAGCATCAGGATATTAAAAAACTATTCTAGTTAGAAGTAGAACACACATGCTGGCTCAAAATGGCACCATTTGCAAACAGGGATTACACACTTGTTTAGTCAGCCATAGGCCACAGGGTGCACGTCTGTGCTGTGAATGTGTGTTTTTATATTTGATTAAAGAGCTGTGTTTTGTAACACACAGGATATTGAGGTCAAAGTCCAATACATATTACATGAAGGCAACAGCAGGGTACTTCCCTACAATCCCAGACCTCTTTGTTTACAAGCATACAAAATATGGGAGCCTGCAAAGTGCTCACATGCTGTTTGGTTTGTCATATTAGTGCTTATTGGATGAAGAAGAGAGTGTATTCAGCCTTTTTTTGTTTACTGGTTTGATATTGAATAAGAGGGAATGATGGAGGCCTTTAGGTAGGGGGGTAAACAAGTTAGACCTGTCTTGCTCAGTTGGAAGCAGAGAGAATTATGCTTAGGCCTGTCTGCAGTATTTGTTGCTTTTGATTGGTACAGTGTGTGCTTTGTCCATTAATATTTCCAAGCAGTCATACTTCAAAAGACTGCACAATTCAGAAATATTTAAAAGCAAAACTTGTATCACAGGAGAAAACCTCTCTTTGAACGCTGCTAGCAAGGCGGCCTCTTGCTGTAACACACACACACACACACACACACACACACAAACCATAATTTCAGCAGTAAATAAGAATACTCTGTAGAGGCTGGTTTCACTGGTGCTTTGATGATCACTGTATGCATGTGCGTGTGTGTGTGTGCGTGTGTGTGTGTTAGAATATGTTTGTTCTCTGAAGATATTTCAGGAGTCTTTCCTGTGGCGGATCTTTAAAATGACACAAATCAAGAAGTTGTCCTTGCCCTTGCATTTTCTTTTTGTTATTCGAACACATTGTTAGAAAAGTGAGTAAGTTCCCCTTCTGGTGATATGTATTGGATGTTGTCAGCAGTGTATCTGTCTGGGCCGGGTTGTTTAAGATCTGTGTGTGTGAGTGTACACATGAGAGTTTGTGTTTATCCCATTTGATATCGATTAATGCTGCATGTCTGTCAGCGCTCCATCTGATAGTGTTCACTAACCCCCCCTTGTTGCTCTCTCCTCTTCGCAGCGATAGAAACCCAGAGTACCAGCTCAGAAGAGATAGTGCCAAGCCCGCCCTCACCTCCCCCGCCGCCCCGCGTCTACAAGCCCTGCTTTGTGTGCCAGGACAAGTCCTCAGGGTACCACTATGGTGTCAGCGCCTGTGAAGGCTGCAAGGTGAGACTCCCGGCCTTCCTCTGAATCTGCCAAGCAAGCAAGATGTTCGTCAATCTTGTAACCTTCATGTGATTTGCACTAGAAAAAAAAAAAACGCAGCCTAAGCTGAGATCGTGAAAATGATAAGGCACGTTGTTTTGAGTATTTCACATCTTTTGAGATTTTTCTGTGTTTAATGCTGGAATTTATGTTGGAAATGAGTGGCTACTTTTCCATGTGGAATCCTTTACCGACATTAACAGTTGCTTTTTTGAGCTGTAAAATCAAAAGTACGACCTTGGCAAGTTGCAGTTGCCTCTTTCAACACTTAAAAACTGCAACCTATATCTGTGCACATTGTAAAGATAACATATGATGGACCCACCTCTTATCCTGTACAGCACGTGAAACTCTAGTCATCTATCGAGTGTTGTTGCTACTCGTATCAGCTTTGCTGACGTGCACACATCGGCCGTCTGTTATCAATACAGCGTTGTTACACAGGTGCTGAAGAGGCCTCATAGCCCCCATCTGCTCTGTTATCAGTTGATAGTTGCTGTGTGCATGCATACATGTTCTCCTGTTAGTGAGAGCACACAGGCTTCTTTATCTCCTTTCTCCCAAGGTGCTGAGCCAGAGTTCTGTAATGTAAAGTTACTGCCAGCTGCAAACCTTATATCGCCACTACACAACTAACATTTCACAGACCACCTTGTGTTTTTGATAGGCAATCATGCATTTTTAAAGTGATCAAAACAGGAGTATGTAAATCCTCCTTGCAAGGTTTTCTCATGACAGCAGTCCTGTGTATGGCAAGAGGAGGTAGGGAGGGGTTTGATGAAGGCAGGCGGGGTGGTGCTATTGGTGACAGGTGCCTTCGAGACCCTTTGACTTATTGACTATGCAGCCAATGGTCTGTGTGTTCCCATATGTGCAGGGATGGGAGTGGTGCAGAAGAAAGGCGGTAGAGCAGAGAAATAAAAGCCTTACTGAAGAAGGTGGGAGGCAGTAGCAGCAAAAAAAACTCGGGGGAAATTTAGAAATGCAGACAAAATGATACAAAGATGGGAGAGACTGCAGGGTGTGAGATAGTGGGGGAGAGAGAGAGAGCAAGCTGTGCTCTGGGAGGCATGAACAGCTAGAAAGAGAGAAGTGGGGATGGTTGGAGGGGCGGCAGATTAGGGGGACGGGGATGGTACAGGGGCCACAGCTGAACTCACTGACACCAAGAGAAAGACGGTCAGCGCATCAGAGCGGGGGGGGGGGG